CTGCTTAGGACAGATGTCTTTGACTAAATCAAGCGCTGTTCCTGTAGGACCGCAGCACTCCAGCTGTGAAAGAGAAACCATTAAAGTCTACGATCAGGGCCAAACGTTTTCAGAGTGATTCCAATGATAATATTTACAAAGTCTTCTGCTTCAGTTTTTATAACAGCAATTTGCATAAACTCCAGAATGTTATAAAGAGTGATCAGCGTAACAGAAATTAATTGCAAAGTCAATATTTGCCTAGAAAATGAACTTTATCTCCCAAAACACATTTAAAGTCATTGCAGCCCTGCCTTAAAAGGACCATCTAACATGGTTTCAGTGATTGCTCCATTAACACCGGTGTGGGTGGTGATGAGGACAGGGCTGCAGATCAATCTGTCAGGATTCAGTCAGAATGACACTTTAAAAAGAGGCTGGTGCTCATTGTTTCTCTTCTGTGAACCATGGTTATCTCTAAAGAAAACGTGCAGTCATTGTTGCACTGCACAAAAATGGCCGAACAGGAAAGAGAATGGCAGCTAGAAAGATTGCACCTCAGTCAGCAATCTATGAAAACTTGTAGTCAATCATCAAGAGATGGGCGGACAAATGAAAACCTAAGAATTCTGACAAAATGCAAGCATTGATTGTGCAAGAATGGACTGCTATCAGTCAGGATCTGGTCCAGAAGGTGATTGAGAGCAGTGGCGGTTCTAGATAAAAATATACCACGGGGCCAGGAGGGGGCCCGGGTGTTTCCATGGGGCCCCAGAAATCATGAAAAAAAAGAAAAGGGATTGAAATATATTAAGATAGCTGCATGAAGTGAAATTTCTATTCAACTAGGTTTAAAATTCTATGTCTTATTAGGTCAACATACATTTATAATTTAGGAATTTTACATATTTTTTACTTGAAATTAAAATTACAGTTTTCTATAAAATCTGAAGTAGAACTCAAGAAAAACTGATAAAAATCAGCTGGAAAAATTTGTGTTTTCTTTGTTTTGAAAGAACATTTAGCAGATGAAAACTGGGATTATATCTAAATACCACTGAAGCCGTCACCTTATTGTTTTTAAATAGTTAGTAAAACAGAATTTGTAAAGGAAAAAATTAAATAGATCCAAAGAACCTATCAGTAACCATGTCTGTTCAAGCACAGATCATCATTAGAATTTCTTTGAGTGTTATGTCTTCAGTACAGGGGCCAGGACATGATCTACAGGGGCACTGGCCCCCGTTGGCCCCTGTCTAGAACCGCCCATGATTGAGAGCATGCCAGGGAGAATTGCAGAGGTCCTGAAGAAGAGGGGTCAACACTGCAAATACTGACTTGCTGCATTAACTCATTCTAACTGTCATTAAAAGCTTTTGTTGCTCAATATAATTGGAACTGTATTTCTGTATGCGATGACATCATCTGACATGAACACCAGAGGGCAGCAGATCAGGTGAAAATAGAATATTTCTGTCATTCTCAATACTTTTGGTCATGACTGTAAGCTGAAAGTTCTTTATGTGATTAATCGCTGAGTGGAGGAGTGGGGCTCTCACCGCATAGTGGACGAGACGGAGGGTCTCCCTCAGTGCATCCTGTTTGGAGTTCTGGTATTTTTTATAGGTCTCCCTATAAAACTCCTTAACATCTGCAGTCAGCTGCAGAGACGGGAAGAAAAGGAAAAATTAACAGAATAACAAATGTTCCAGTTTATATGAATGCAATCAAAAGTTGGTTCAGTTCAAAAGCCGGAACTGATTTTTACACCAGTTTGCTTTATTGATTTTACTGAGTTAATGATGATCGACTGAACGTTGCATAAAATCACAGAATGACTCCAGTCATACCTTCTCCTTGTTGTTGAATGCCCAGATACCTGCAGCCGCTTCAGCAGCGAAGATGAGGAGCAGGAAGAGGAAGAACTAAACCAAGAAACAACAAAAAGTCATTTTGCGTTCGATCAAAGTGCCTCATATGGACGGTTCCTCCTTGGCTCACCAGTCCCAGCATGCATGGAGACTCTTTAATGGCTCCACAGCATCCCAGGAATCCCACAACCATCATCAGAGCTCCTGCAGCTATCAGGAGGTACATCCCTATGAACGAACAATATAGAGAATCACGTTCAGGGCGGAGCTAAAGAAAAGAATTTTCTGCAGTCATTGAACTTTAAAAATACAAAAGAAAACACTGAATTTTTCTAATATAAAAACACATTCTTGAAGGAAAAGCATCTTTGAGAATATCCGATTAAACAACTACGCAAAACTTGTTTACAGAAGTATTTCATTTTTCAAATTAACATCTTAAAGTGTTTCTTTCTAATCTAAAAATCGACCTCCTACCAAACGCTCGGTAACTAAACCCGGTTAACGGATTGGATTTTAAATCCACAGCTATAATTTGAGTCAGCTGAAAGGAAACGGATCATTTCTGGTCAGATTTAGTGGTTTTATATGCAGATAAATTATCGCCTGTATGCAAACAGAAAATCACCCCCCCAACCCCAATAACCCCCTCTGGCTGTTTAAGGTTCAAATATTACACAATATTTTGTTAAATGAGATGCATGTTAGAGTTCCCTGCTTAAATGTTAAAGAGAAAAATAGATGTTAAAAAGCGATAAACTAAGAGAAGCTGTTCTAACTTCTTACTTTAAAAGAAAA